TTTTTTTTCTAATAATAGGGTAAATTTCTTTGAATGAATGAAACTTAACATCTCTGTAAAACAAATGTAAATGTATCACTTATCGTTATGAGTACCATCTATCAATCAATTCTGAAAATTGTGAAAGAACAACTGACATATCGATCCAAAACAATTTTTTAATCAATAACTAGAAAAACATCTATATTTTCAAATGAAATTATATGTCAAAAAGATTCCGCATTTCTTTCTTTGAGTTGCATTTAAGTTCTTTTGTGGTCTAACATTATAAATTCATCCATAATATATAAGGGGCATAAAAGAAATAGAAACAGATGCATGCTTTTACTGTACATGGGTTTGATTACAGAAGGCACAGGAGGTAAACAATTATATGAAGAGACAAAGAAAGAAGACAATAAAAATGAAAAGTCATGGTTACTATCTGTATTCAGCACTCTTAAAATTTATCTCTACAATGCGTCTATTTAAACGGTGTAATTTTGAGTCTGATATTTCAAAATAATTTGCCCGAACGGTATCACATTTTGTATCATAGAACAGCATTTTTAATTATATTAAAAACGTGAGTATTTTAACTTCTCTGTAAAAAAAACTCACTTTTCAATAAGAAAGTTTATATAAATGAATGTATTGTAGCTGGCTTGTAACAAATCCGTGACTTTTTAGTAGAATAGCAGTGAAAAATCCCGTTAGAATTGTGTTTACGAAATACAAAAGGCGCGTCTATCATGAACGTTTTTGATCAATATTGTTAGGTACTGTTTTAAATTGAGGAAACGCGTGCGTGATAAAAAAATGATGCGGTGAAATGGGTTACAAATAAATATCGATGCATTTGAACGTATCGAATTAAAACTGAGAAGTTTGGGCAGAAAATGTCCTATTTTATTCTCAAACTTGGCATAGAAACTCTGTATTTGAAAAACATGGCTTCATGAATGAAGATATAAATATGCCATTTCATTTAAAGATCCTCTTCTAGTCGAGAGCATTCAACCAAGAATATATATTATAAACTTCTACCTATTCATTGACAAAAATATTTTTTGATTCTCAAACGATTAGTTTACTTCAGTTTTAATTAGGGAAATGTGTTTTACCAATTAGAGTGTAGAAAAATATTTATAGAATATATGAAAAACAAACGAAGAATTTTAGGTCAATTTCAGATAATCTAAAGAAAAACGAGGATTTTTTGTTTAAACGTGACTGATTTCGTAGCAACAAAATCCGACCGTTTTTTTTAGTTTATTATCAAAATTCACTGAAGAAACTATGAAAACGCTTTTAAAGCTCGAATGGAATCAATAGACGCGTTTAAACACTATTATAACTGTTTGTTGTCTTCCTGGATGATTACATTTGCTTTATCAATTTTCAATTAAAAAAAAAGCCTCATATTTGTTTATCACTGCATCGAGACTCTCTATGAAAAGAATAATTTTGGTACTTCGCATTGATAGTCGATTCAATTAGTTAAATATCAATCACAGTTGTTCACCGTCTATAGTAGACAATATTAACAAATATGTTTCTTGAAATTGTTTCTATGAAGAAAAACAAAACTTGTTTTGCATTTTGAAATAAATGATGTCATAACTGAGAAATAACATCAATATCAATAATGCTTTCTATGAGATAGAGAATTTTATTGTGTTCAAATGACGACGCTTTATAAAACAAAACGACAGTACTAGTGAGATGAGAATAGATGTTGACATTTCATAATTCTTCATTGAGTAAATTTTCAAAACTACGGAAAATTAGAAAGAAATTTGTTTTGCCTGATTTATTTATTTTCATTTTTGCATCTCAAGTTAAATTCTAAGAAATTAATTCGTCGTAATTCAACGTAAAGAATCTAACCAAAATCTTTTTAATGATTAGAATTAAAATATAGGATACAATGGATGTTTTTTATTGTTGAATGTTCATATTGAATTATTTGAAAAGATGTTTTTATCAAAGAAAACGTTTTGTTGAGAAATTTTAACATGAATGTATAAAAATAAAATTGTTTTTCGTGAAATTTTTAAGAGAACTGGATTCTTACAGTATGAATTAGTAAGTTCTTATTAACAGACAGTTCAAATCACTTTTTCGAAACAATAAGCTTAGAAAATAAAATTTAATAGAAATAGTACGTAGACATATCCATGGGAAGACAATCAGAAAAAACACGACATATTTTAAAAATTCTCCTTTCTATTCCAATGTGTAGAGCTGTTTTCAATCATCATTTTCGTAGAAAAAGGTTTTGGGTTTCATTGAAAAATGATGCACTTATAGTCAAAAAACTAGTACTGTAAAACATCTTAAAATACATTTTTTTTTGATAAAGCACCAAAAGACGTCGATTCGCTTACCTTAATATGGCAATATTCTCAAGAAATGTACGATGATGTGTTTTGTAGAGGAATGTTTGCTCTACAAAACTTCATAGTCAATTTTTTATTAAGAGTCTGACAAGATAATTAAATCTTAATAAATCATTGTGAATGATACTCATGACAGAAGTTACTAGTTATTTTTATGATGAATGTTACGCACAGGATTTGATCGAAGTTCAATCATCTTCTTAGACTCGCTTAATGAAAAATTGACTATGAAGTTTTGTAGAGCAAACATTCCTCTACAAAACACATCATCGTATATTTCTTGAGAATATTGCCATATCGAGGTATATGAATCAACGTCTTCTGGTGCTTTATTTAAAAAAAATTGTATTTCAAGATATTTTACAGTAATTAGTTTTTTGACTATAAGTGCATCATTTTTCAATGAAATTCAAGACATTTTTATACTAAAATGATGAGCGAAAACAGCTCTACATATTGGGATAGAAAGGAAAATTTTTAAAATATCTTGTGCCTTATTCTGGTTGACTTCCCATGGAAGGGCCCATGCAGAAATGCCGTACATATCTCTATCATTGGATTAAGAAATTTATTTTACTATGAAGAATTTTAAGAATTGAGACTGATCTCTTTTAGGGTTAGTACAGTGATGTCTTCCATGGATATTCACCCAATCTCCATCAAGTATCAGCAAAGTAGATATTCAAAAACACGGAGAGGATAGCAGATCTGGTATGAGCACCATGGAAATACAGATGCATCTAATTACTCATAAATGATCTATAGCTTGTGTATTGTTTATACGTGAACGACTCAGATCTCATGATACATATCCTATTCTAGTACCTAATTGACTTTGCGAAAAGATTCAGAAAGCAGATCTTATCAGATTCGTTATTTTTAGACAAACTTGGATGCTACTAGTGGCGCTGAAACCCACTGTCAATGAGTGAAAACAGAAGTCGCATCGACATCGGTTCTCTGACGAGTACCCGTATATGAATTTCATCATTTTCTTTATATGCGCAATGCTGAGGTAGTCAGCGTTTCATTTTAAATATATTTTACAAGTCAAGTAGTTAGTAAAACAACGATCTTAGTGTTAACCATTCAAGCTAAGGTGTGCATGCCACTCATAAAGAAATCTTTTTAATAGCTACCATCAAGAATATACTGTGCTGGACAAAAATATACGAGCAGACAATTTTTTTCCTGCGTTATTATTTTATAACCTTGAGCTTTTCTAATTGTTAGTAGTTTATCGTCTAGAGATAGTTGTGCTACATCTGAAACTGAAGTGAAATTTGCTGATTTAGAATGTGTGAGCTGAGAAAATGCATTTTAATATAAATTTGTATCTGTTAGATTTCTCAAGAAATACTCCAATCTTACTTAGATTTTTGGTCCTATAATTAAAAATAGACACGATATTACTTTTTCTACAATTTCAAGAGATAGAACACACTTTTTGCCAATACATAAGCTACTCTCGGAGCCTAAGAATCATTCCATTAGAAAGAAAACACCAATTCAATAAACGATAAGATTGCTGATATCGAAAATAGCTTCAAATTGTCTATTGCTAGAATTTAAATTTTAAAGTTAGCGTTCCTTTTCTGATGGAATGATTCTTAGGTTTCGAGAATTGCTCATTTTGTGACAAAAAGTATCTCCTATCTCGCGAAAATATCCAAAACAAAACAAGCGCAAGTCTATTTTGATTTTTACGACTAAAACTCTAAAGTAGACTAGAACACCTTTTGGGTTTTTCAAAAGATACTAATATTTGTACAATCGCGATTTCTGAAGCCTACCATGCATAATGAGCAAATCTCACTTCAGATTGGAATTACGCCGCACAACAGAATGCGTATTTCTATGCACATAGATTACTATCAATAAGAAAAAAATCATGACTTACAAGAAAGGATTGTCTGGTCTTATATTTTTCGCAGAAATGTAGGTCTTTCGACTCAAACTCACTCATGCCAACCTCAATAAAAAAACGTGAACTAAGTGTGCGAAAACGAGTTTTGAGTTATACATCATATCCTATTAATTCATATATCCGGAGCAATATTCTGTAGTTGTTGTCATTCATTGTATAATTATATGGAGAATAGATAGAACAAGTCTAGTTTTTTTATGCCTGGTATCAATCTCACAAATCACATCGGATCGGTCAGTATACTGACTTGACTGACCGGCTTAAAATCGACGCATTCTAGCTATGATGTGATGTTGATAGTGTGAAAAAATAAATCATAGAATTGTTTATACGGAAAATCTTGACCTTTCGTTTTGTAAAGTTTCTTCTCTGGAGATTTCATAGCACATTCAATGTACGATCTTAATCAGGATCAATCGGAAGGTTACATGGACCTCGATGAGTAACGAAGGGGAGTAGAAAAATTTTAAATGTTATATATCTGCAGAGCAGTCTGTTCAATCTATAATGAATCGAAATAGGAATAGAACACACCCATTGAATCCGATCTTAGATCAGCAAAATATTTTCTGGATTTTAGAATTGATATCATCTTCATTGTACAAAAAAGCAAAACTTAGAAATAGAGCGAAGAGCCCAACTACATTCTTAATAAATAATAAAATTAAGTTGCTTGAATAATTTTGTTAATTATGAGTGAAATCAATCAAATCGAAGAAGCTAAACCAACTGGTAACAATCCAACGCATGATCAGATGATGCGCCATTTGCGTCGTGCTAATCAAATTGCAAAACGTGCATTGCAGTTTGGTCATCATCCATTTGGCTGTATACTTGTTGCATCTGATAATGAAACCATATTGATGGAACAGGGTAATATTGATACAGTTAATCACGCTGAATCAACGCTTGCTCGAATGGCTTGTACAAATTTTTCATCAGAATATCTTTGGCGTTGCACACTTTATACGACATTTGAACCCTGTGCTATGTGTGCTGCTACTTTATATTGGGCCAATATTGGACAAATCGTTTTTGGTGCTACTGAGAAACGTTTACTCGAACTCACTGGTAGTAATGAAAACAATCCAACACTGGATATTCCGTGCCGTTATGTATTTCAACATGGTCAAAAAAAAATTGAAGTATGGGGTCCTTTTCCTGAACTGGAAAACGAATTCATCGAATTACATAGAGGATTTTGGAAAATAAGCAAATAGTTGCTTTTCTGTTTCGTAGTTTATTCCTTGAGAAAATTGAAGAATGTTTATTTTTTAATTCAATGTTTTAATTATGCTTTTATTAGATCATTATTATTGATAAAAAAAGACGAAAAAGGTGAAATTATGCATTATTCATTATGCTGAACCGTACAATTTACTTCTGTTCCTTTTTTTTTAGTTGTTAGAGAGAAAAAAGAGTAAAGAATTTCAAATGAATATCTCTCAACAAATATGCATGTGAATTCATCTAGTTGATAAACATGAACGAGGGGTGTCCGAGGACTGACATTTGTGAATTCTCTCAATTCCTAAAAACACCAGCTAAAAGCGACATATTCCTCGAGGAACTGAGAACTGACCCTCAAGCACTTCATGCGACCTCCTCGGTTCCTCATCGATTCCATCTCGTGAATAAATCACAATTCATTGCAACGACAGTTCCCAAACCACGATACCTTCTCATTTTCTTCCGTGGCAATCGACCACCAACAATCCCTCAGATAAGGAATCGAGGAAATAACTAGAACTAACCGTCAATACCGATCGGGGGAACTGACACCAACATTAGCCATCATCATTCAAATCCCATAAGAAGGACACAGAAAACAACAATTACCACAGAAGGGTGTTGGTGTGGGTGTGTGAGTATGGATGTAAAAGTTGTTTTTCTCTTCACCCACTCCCACGTCTACAGCCACAGCCACAGCCACACCCCACAGCCACACCCCACCCACACCCCACACCCAAACCCCCACACCCACCCCCACACCCACACCACCCACACCCACACCCTGAATAAATAATTAGATGAAATTGAAGTTACTCGTGATCTTTTTCGACAAACACTAAATGAACAAACATCAGAACCAGAAAATTATCTTTTAGTACAACAAATTAATGATTTGGAACGTGATTCAATTGAAAAAATTCGACAAACAGCAGATGAAGTAAGAAAATTATTACTACACTACACAGCTAAACATATTCCTGACATAGAAATTGAGTTGAATAAATTCACTGATCAATTGAGACAAAGTCGTCATGAAAATGATTTGGTTGAAACAGATTTATATCGATGGAAAAATCAACTTATTCAACTAAGTGATGAACTCAACAAACCATCAAATATTACAATTCGACAAGATTCAAAATCACTTGTGAACAGAATTTATGTTGATATATCAACTAGTAAGTGTTGTTCATATGTATAATAATTCTATAAAAGATAGCGAACTCATCTGAGAATGGTTCACATTTTGAAATTTATCTTAGTAACAATTGTATCTTATCGATGAAACTTTACAAGTTCATAATATTTACATAAAACTATACTGAAGAAAATAACAATCGGAGTAGACTTTTGTAAGAATGTTATTGTGAAAAAATAGTTTGAAATAAATCTTTCTTAAAAAGAATTTGATATATGAAAAAACAGATTCAAAGAAAATATTACTTGCAATGAAACGATTCTCGTGAGTTGAACCTGTGAAAACAATCTATTCGGAGTATGTCACTGAAAATCTATCTTAAAAAATATCTTTATTGATTATATTTTACCGAAATATCATGTCTGTTTGATTCATATCTACGCAGTAAATTCTTACCTTGAATATGTCAGCCTAAAACTACTCAAGGAACTTTTCATAGTAGAGTGTGATCAAGAAAATGAATTCTGTATTCTATTGTCATTAATCAAGTTATTATCTTTTTATATTTTGATTCGTTTTCAATTTATCAAAATTTGAAAAAGAATGAAAAAATTATGGAAACAGTAACTACGTGGAAGCTGACATAGTTTTCTTTTTATGATAACTCATCAAACTATGTTGCACTATTTATAAAATCAAAGTGAATGGAACTTTTTCAGAAAAGCTCACTGGGAGCAGTTAAGAAAAAAGTAAACATAGGTGCATTACGTTTGGTAATTATCTAAGAGACAGTGAAATTTAAATCTTATTGATACGACAAAACAAGAAGAGAAGACCAAGATTGCCAGTTCGACAAATATCCAAATGCAATTAGAAGTTCAATAGAAAAAAAACTGTTATGATTAGTTATTCGACTATACAAACGGTGTAGAGTGAATCTTGAATAATGAAACATTCTTGTTGTAAATAAAGATATTTTTTTTCTCACAATTATGCTGAAGTCGATTGCACAGAATAAAAGCAAGACTTTTCATCATCATAAACTTCTGTCTCATTGTAGTAACATCATGCATGATGAAAACTAATGGTAACACAAGATGGTTACAAAATGATATCACTGTTGCTGGAGGTAACCAAAGAGGGAATAGGTTAAATCAACTTTATTATTCATGGGGCATATGTATTCATGACGATGAACACACAATGTATATCGCTGATACTTTTAATCATCGCATTATAGAATGGAAGTATGGAGCAACAAATGGACAAGTCGTGGCGGGTGGAAATGGAGCAGGAAATCGAATGAATCAGTTGAATGTACCAACAGATGTGATTATCGATAAAGAGAATGATTGTCTTATTATCTGCGACCAAGGAAATAGTAGAGTGGTTCGATGGCCTCGTCGGAATCGCACAATTGGACAAACTGTCATTTCCGATGTTTGATGCTACGGACTAGCAATGGATAACGATGAGTATTTTTATGTTCCTGACTTCAAAAAGCATGAAGTTAGACGATGGAGAATAGGAGATAGTTATGGAATAGTAGTAGCAGGTGGTCATGGACAAGGTCATCGTCTCGATCAACTCAATAGTCCTTGTTATATCTTTATCGATCAAGATTATTCAGTGTATATATCAGATGAGAAGAATCATCGTGTGATGAAATGGATAAAAGGTGCAACAGAAGGAATTATCGTTGCGGGTAGTCAAGGTCAAGGACATGGTCTAGCTCAATTGTCTTGTCCCTGTGGAGTAATTGTTGATCAGTTAGGTACTGTCTATGTGGCAGATTGTGACAACAATCGAGTAATGTGCTGGTCAAAAGAGGCTAAACAAGGTACTATAGTTGTTGGTGGAAATAATGAAGGAAAGCAATCGAATCAACTCTATTATCCTCAAGATTTATCATTTGATCGACAATACAATCTCTATGTTGTTGATTATGGCGACGATCGAATACAACGATTCAATATTGATTCAAGTTCTAGTTGGTCGGGATATAGAGAAACTTAGAATGAACTGTCGTGGGTGTGGGTGGAAAAGAGATAGAAGAAGACTTATACTCACACACACACACCCATACTAATACTCATACCCACACCCAATTTTCGAACCTCAGTAGACGGCCAAGTAGAAAGACAAACAACAATTGGATGACGATTGAAAATATCCAACATGATTTTCTAGAGATTAACCTTCATTAAAATCTTGGACATTATTAATGCAGAGCAGCATTTAATTGACAAATAACTATTATCGAAATTTAAAAAAAAAGGCTATCGGGCAAAATGCTTACAACTTTTGAACGAAGATAGCTAGAGCCCTGCGGTTTTCACCATTCGAAAGGGAAGATAAGGGGACGCCTTTTTCTCCAATATTGTGTAGGACGAAATCATTTAAAAATCAGTCATTTCTACGAAACATCGAAAAAATGTATACAAAACGGCCTGCCATTCAGTTGAAATTTAGACGAAAAGTAAGAAAATATGCTTAAAAATTAAAAGAACTCTATAGTTTTCGTGCAATTGAATAGACAAGTTTATTTGTTCAACATTAGGAGGTGGAAAGATAATCATTCGAACTATATCTTGAACTATACATCTGAAGTTTCTCTATCTAGAGCAGATGTCAGAACCAAAATTTCATCGGAATGACAGATCGTTTTCATGCATTTTTTCGATGTTTTGTAGAAATGACTGATTTTTAAAAGATTTCGTCCTATACAATATTGGAGAAAAAGGCGTCCCCTTGTCTTCCCTTTCGAATAGTGAAAACCGCAGGGCTCTGGCTATCTTCGTTCAAAAGTTATAAGCATTTTGCCCGTTGGCCTTTTTTTAAAATTTCGATAATAGGTTTAATTGTCGATGCTATTGCAATGAATCAAAAGTATACGAGTGGATTACTGAATGAAGTTCAAGATCAAACGCTACTAATCCATGGTTTGACAACCTTTGTCTCTCAAACTTGAATAACTAATAAAAATTTCGATGACTAATGTTTCAAATGCATCAATCCTTTTTTCATAATTGATCTTTAGGCTATATTTCGAAAAGTATTACCGATGATGTTTTTATCAATGAAATCGACACCCTTATGCTCCACAGGAAACCTAAAAAAGGTCTATGGTAGAAATAGAGAATAGATTCGAACTACTTCGCCACATGTTACCTATAGTTATATTGTTGGGACTCATGATTCGTTAGTTTGACGAGATTTTTGTAAGCAATGATGAATGCAGTTTTCTAGTTGGTTGAACAGACTCATCTTTTTGTGAGCATGACCTTATCTTTCAGAAAATGAAACAACAAGGCAAGTTTATCATTGTTTATCAATATAGTTCTTCGAAGAAATCAATTTTTTTTTATTTCGCATTACATAAACACAAGAAATGATCGAACAGAAGGAGAGCGAGAAAAAACGAAGAAGATAACGATTTTGTTTACATAAAGAAAGAACAAGACAAAAATTTAGTAACCTTCCTGGCCAGATACTTCAGTGAACTTTTCGTACTCAATTAAATCGTTCTCGCCTACTGTTGGTTTCTGTCTGGCCAAGGCAGCTAACATATCAGACTAAAATAAAAATATTAATAAGTTTTTCTCTGTCGCTTGACTTTGTATAATTCTTACCATGATCACCGGAGGTTCAAATAAGTCATCACAATCAAGTTCATCAAATGAAATTTCTTTCGCATCAGGATCGTCAGGTGAACAAAGAAGCCACAGTTCAGAAGGTCCATCAGAATTGGGATTTTTCACCTAAGTGACAGTTAGAAAGATAATGATATAGAGAATAGACAAATGTTTACTCGTTTGAAATGAGTTGATAAACAAAGTCGTCGAAGAGGTCTGAGTAAAGCTTCTCGACAAACGACAGCAATATCAGCACCAGAGTAACTGTAATTCGATATTGAAATATCACAATCAATACCTAAACTAAAAACTTACTAATTAGCTTTTTGACCTAATTCCATCCATTCGTGATCTTGGATTTCATATGGTATGTCTGTACCTAAGTGATATTTGAACATGGCCGCGCGCTCTTTCACATCAGGTAGTGGAATATAAATGCGCTTTTCAAAGCTGAAAAATTCTCAACAAATCATATTTAAGAAAAATACAGAAAAGAATTGTACCGTCGTCGCATGGCTATATCCAATGCCCAAGGAATGTTAGTTGCCGCAAGAAGAAGAACACCTGAATTGTCTGCTCCAACCCCTAAATAATCATCCAATGAAATTTACTGAATTCTTTATATAAGAATTAGAGTGAAACAACCTTCTGTTTGAACAAGAAATTCAGTTTTCACACGTCTTGAAGATTCCGATTCTGTATCATTACGTTGACTACAGAGTGCATCAATTTCATCAATGAATACAATACATGGTTGTCGTTCACGAGCCAGTTCAAATAAACATTTCACACCTTTTTCACTTTCACCGAGCCATTTTGAAAGCAGATCTGATGAGGTCACAGATATAAATGTACTTTTGCATTCTGTAGCAATGGCTTTAGCCAAATAGGATTTACCGGTACCGGGTGGCTACAATCAGATATATATATATATATAGAGAGAGAGAGAGACGATGCAATCAATCAACAAATGATATACTCACTCCATAAAGTAAAATACCAGTCCATGGTTTACGTTTACCTAATATAAAAGAGTATACATCATTAAATAGATCTTTTGATTTTCACAATCGCATACCTCTGAAAAACTTTTTCAATTTAACAGGCCAAATAACGGCTTCTTTTAATGCCTCTTTTGCTTGTTCTAAACCAATGACATCGTTAAATGTTACTTTTGGATCTGCAACGATAGCGCCTAAATTTCAATACAAAAAAAAATAATATTTGTGTAAGAGAAATAGTAATGTGAGTGAACCTTCAAATTTTTGTTTAAGTTGTTTATAATCTGAATCACTACTATCACTATTATTTTTATTATTCTTTACATTTCCATGATCATTGCAACCATCAGTAACTTGCTTTTTCTTCAGAATCAAATCAATTTCTTCTGCTCGTTTTATATAACTCGCTATTTTAGGTCTTATTGTTTGTTTTAATTGTGCATTCATTCCTCCGTCTAAAGAACAAACATTTGTTGAATATAATTTGAAAAAACAATCTATTCCGTTCATTCACATTTTATTGCTTGCATGAGCCAATGAGCTGCTGTCATATAATGTTGTACAGCAGCCTCATAATTGTGTGCTTTATCTTCTGCTGTTGCTTGCTCAGCATTTTGAATACCTTTCTATTAAAAAAAGTAGAGTATATTGAACAAGCAATTATAATTATAGATGAAATATATTACCTGAATATAATCACTTTGACCACTACTCATCGTTTTTTAACGACGATAGAATACTACAAAAATAATCAATAGATGAAAACTTTTGAAATACTATCAAAGCAATCATTAACTGTTCACACAGTCTGGGAGAGTCGCGAGTTCAATTACGGATATAGTACTTGAATTTTAAATCATTGTTTGAAAGAAAAAAATATCTATAGACAAACGTGGTTTTTTTTTGTCGTCATATATGGAAATCTCCAGCTATTCATTATTGATTTCCACATTTCAAAAATGGATTTTAGATATGTACTCGTCACATTTTCACAGTCTGAACAAGCTTTTCTCAGAGACGATCAAACATTCAAGTTAGATGAACGGTTGGTTAACCGAAATCGTGAGTCAGGTGTTGAGAAGGAAGCGATGATAACCTGTCGACTGAAAAGTAATAAATCGGCAAACTGCGATTCGTGCCGTCAGTCGACTTAAAAATTGTTTAACTATGCGAATAGTTCATGAGAGAACATAGTCAACTGGTAATCACCAATCGAACTCATTTCTTGTTCACAAATTATTCACGTAAAACTAGCGACAATAATGCACACAAAAAAAGAAACGAAAACAAATATATATTTGAAGAAAAAGCAACCAATAAAATATCTTACCTGATGTTGATACAAAGCAACAAAAAAAAATCCCACGTGTTGTTAATTTTTCTGCATATATCAAGCAAATCGAATCCTTTACTACGTTCATCACATCTCTCGCGTTAATTGTTAAAAGCAGTAAATTACTTAATCTACCATTGACTAACAAAAATGTGTTCGAAATAAAAGCGTGCAGAGTCTCCGTCAACGAGATGATAGTCAACCAACAGACTCATGCCGGAACATCATGAAAAAGCACATTTACTATGAGAAGAACGACATCTCATACAGAGAATGAAATGAGAGAAAAATACGATTACTAATTTTGCATGTAGAATGGCGCAATACACAATGAGTCATATCCACTGGAAAAGAAAAACGAAGCGAATAAAACCAGGTAAAGAGACAACACAGTGACAGACATTACTAATAGTGTATTGTCGAAAAAAAATCTGTTACGTTCTGTTGAATTACACAACAATCTTCTTGTCTAGGTAAGGAGAAATTTTTTCATCACATTTCTCTCTGTCTCTCTTATAACAATGTTACACATTGCACAACTCAGCGGAAATGTGGACTTTGCATACGAAAGAGCATGAGTCAATATTGTTTTCAGACGATTCATACATATTAATTTCAACATTAGTCTCTCCATATCGATTCATATTTTATTCAACAGATAGACAATAAAAAAATAGATAATAATACACTAAAGGAAGTGAAATGAAAAAATTTCACGGCAACAAAAAAAGATTTGTTTGTTTATGGCGGATTCATCCTATATAAACGTCTGATTTGAACTTGAAAATTACAACATGAAAAATTCGTTTTCTCTATGGACACTACGTATCTATGATAAAGGAATGATTTCGCCAAGTCCGAAATATAATTTATTATAATTGAATTTCGTCTGCAATACGCATAATCATCTTCGTCGCACAAAGTCCAATTCCAACGTTATCGATCGACACGACATATTCGATGGGTAATGCAGCAAGTAGCACTAAATGTTTTGCATTTTTCTTTCGTTTGCAACCTACTCATCATTGATTCTGCATCGAGTAGGAA